CAATTTTTTCTTGAATACGAAGTAACAAAGATAAACAACTAAATACCTATAAAAAATATCATGATACTATAAGTCAAAACTTCTTAAAAAATGTGATCAAAACAATCAAAAAATCAAAACTTACAGATTTTAATAAATTGTTATTATCGGATTCAGCAAACTTTGCTAGTGTTGTTAATAAAGTTTGAGTGGTAGTTCCAAATTTAGTACAAAGAACTTCTTTAGGAACACATTTCATACCCATACTTAATAACGAAACCATAGCTGTAACACTATCTTCACAATCATCCTGTCCATTACTTAAGGTTGTTTGTAAAGTAGTAATCTAAAAGTTAAATTTTCATAATATTAGTAGATTCATTCAATGTGATTAATTATTAAATAACAATATATCTACTTACAAGAGCTGCAAAATACTCTGTGGAAGTTTCTTTGCCTCCATTAGCCTTAATTACTTCTGTTAATGCTGCAAGTATGGCTAACATTTCTTTATGTAAATAAGAGTTTGAACTAAAATTTTTTAGTAACCTAAAAACAAAAATTAATGTATATACAATTTTGCTAAGATTTTAAAATTGTTACTTCCTATTATATTTTAAAAAACTTGAAAGAATAATATTGTAAAATGTATGAAAAAATCATTGAAAGAACAATTTTTATTATGATATTCCAATACATTTCAAAATCCCTAATATTTTAAATAACCATAACATAAAAAAATTAACCATTTAGATTTTTCATGACAAAAAAGTAATAAATATATAACCATATATTTCAAAATAATAAAATTTAACTTTTTTTTGAAAATCCATTTTCAAACAATTTACAATCTGCCTTTAAGCTTTAAACTAATATGTAATTTTAGGATAACAGGCACGAGTAGTTTGATTATGAGGAGTGATGACACTTATCAGTAATTAGTGATATTTTACTGAGAATTGATTGATTTGTTATTTATTAAACAGATTGTAGTACATTAATGATTAACATAGTTATTATAAGACTTAGGCCAGTGGCGTCCGCAGGATTTTTCAATGGGGGGGGGGGGGGCCTTGAAAATTAGTTACAATTTTATTTTTATTTAGTACAGTCTAATAATTTCAGACGTTTATTTGAGGTATTTTAAAATGTTTGTAACTTTTCAACCTTTCTGGTCGAAAAAATACTCTGATCATAAGCTTCGATGCCCAATGTATGTTTTAGGAAGCAAATTATCTCTAGTTGGTACTTTTAGGAGGTCAAAATTGAAAATGCTCAGTGCTTTTCAAAATAATTGAAGAAAAAAAAATGAAAATTTATTTAAATGTTTGGTTATACCGTCTTCACTTGGATTGTGTTTGAATAATTCCATTTTTTTTTTCTATAAATGTCAACAAAAGCTTAAAAATGCAATACATAAGTTTTTTTTTTTTAGCTAAAATATTAACGATACATAGGCATCGTGGTTATTTTTTATAAGCATTTAAAGTTTAAATTTCGTCATAACTACAGTTAATTTGTAGTTCAAAACTTATAAAATATTAAATATGTATAGCTAAGGCTAGACAATTTAATACAAGGTCTTTCATACAAGTAGTTCATACTTTTACCGAAAGATTACAGATAATTTATGAAAATTGGTATGGAAATACAATGTTTTTTCAAAGATGAATTCATTCTGGTAAGACATATATGAAATTTACGTCTTGCTTACTATAGCTAACAATTTAACTTGATTAATATTATTTTGAAAAAGTAATAATAATAAGGGCAATGGGGGGGGGCATTAGCCCTCCCTCCTGCGGACACCACTGACTTAGGCAATATAAAGAATGATATAAAAAAACTTTATAGCAAAAAAGCTGTTCAATGGAACTTTAAACTATAAAAACAATTAGATATACAATATTTATTTACCTATTAAACGATGGATTGGTACACGAGCTCCAATCAGAAGCAAATGTCTCAAATGTTTTGTAAGTTGATGCAGAAGTATGAGACATAGCATCATCTGGTTTCGATCTGTTAAAACCATAACTATTCGTAATATTATCATGTTCCTTCAATTTGTTTTGAGTTAACAAACTTTTTCCTTCATTTTGAACAGTTCCTCCTAGAGTTAGAGTAAATTGTTTAGACTTACTATTTAGATATAGATCATCATAAATTTCAAGTACTTACCAAATATTGGCTTGCAAAAATTAATTTGAGCTTGGGAACGATATTTTTTTGAATCTGGATTGGTGACTGAGCTTTGGCCTTTTACCCATCGTTTACCTTTGGACTTCAATTTTTTTCTAAACTTTGCCATTATTATTTAATCCGGCAGAATTCGAACCACTTAATACGAAAATAATAAAATTTGACCAATGGTGTTAATGTGTTATACACTTCTACAATCTATGCACACGAAATTTGTTTAAAAAACAAAATAACACACATTTCTCATATTATCAAAATGTGTGATTTACTATATATTATTATTATAAGCACGTGGATAAAATGTCAAGGACGTTATAAAGTTCAACATTACGGTAAGTGATTAGTGAATGATAGCAACGATAATACACGTTACCACAATTTATATACCATATGGTTGAGAATAATATTATACATAATTAATAATTCAATTTAATTTAATTTAATTTGTCTTCATTTACATTTTTTCATGTACATTTTAAGTAGTTATTAGTTATGACCTCGGAAAATTATATCTATATTATTATGAAGTCCGTGATGACTGATAATTAGTGATTACTGATTAGTGATTATCATTTACCTTTTACTCTTAGATATATGATCTAAGCTTTTACCTAAATAGTAAATTTAGTAAAATAGCTAAAAAAAATAAACAACAGCTAATGGGAGGAAAAAATTGGAATATCCCGCACCCTCTCAAAACTTTTTACTTGGGTAATAAAAAGCCAATGGGTGGGGGGTCTGACCCCCCACGTCGCTCCTTGTCTACGTTACTGAATATCACGATTATAAAGAACTTTATAATCGTGCTGAATATATCTATATCTTTAATCGTGATAATTAAGTTTATCTCAAATCGTGACCCGAGTCTTGAACTCTTGAATAAAATATGGGAGTCCCGTTCATATAATATACATATCAGTATATCACATAATTACGGTGTAGAGAGATCTACTACAAATCCCGGTGCTGGATAATGAACCATGTTGATGATATGGTCCAGTTCGTCGTCCAAACATCGCGGTGTTTTTCGCGGTAATCGGAAAAAAAAGTACCCAAAAAACACAAATGAAAATATATCAAAATTGAAGTATAAATATGTTAAAACTGTATTGTAAAATACATTAAAGTTACATAAAAAATAGAAGGGGCTTACATACCTATATATAGTGTATATTATATTATAAAATATATATTTAATTTTAAAGTTCCCTAGTGGAGATCTTTTCTCGTTTAAGAACATTACATAAAAACAAAGTTTTTGGTATAATAATAATTATTAATAGGTTATACGTGTACATACCTTTAAACAGACCTTTTTAACAGCCGTAAGTCATAACAAAAGAAAGATGTACCCTTAATTATTATATTACATTTTTATTATTTTATAGCATTCTTTTAATAAATATGAGGGTACTATAATTTTATTGTACCTATTATATATCAAATAAGTGATTTAAGCAACTAATTAAAATTGTTTATGATATTATATGATTTTTTATGGAACTTATAATGTATTTTTCAATACAATTTTAACATATTTATACTTCAGTTTTGATATATTTCCATTCATTTTTATTGGGGTTTTGTTCCTAGTGTGGGACTTTTTTTACCTGTACTTTTTTTCCACAATCCATTTTTCTCACAGGTTTATGGAATTTCTAGGATAATTTCTCTAAATAATCGTGTACAGAACATAGACCATAGACGTGTAAATATTAAATAATATTATGTCTATGGTACAGAATGCTTATCAGTGCTCACCCCATTGTTTTGCTTTAACAAATTATCGTCGCAGAATCTTATTGAGAAGTACAAAAAAAATTTAAAATTTGAAAAATTGTTGAGTATAATATTATTTAAAAATTCAAAAAATCAGAATTTGAATAATTTCATGGGGGGGGGGGGGGGTAAACAATTGACATTTAACATGCTTGCCACTTGGTCAATCTCGTCATCGTGTTTCATAGATAAGTATATAATCTTTTTTTATGGTGTATGGTATGGTAAATTATATCTTTATAATCGTGATTACGGACTACGGTATATTATAGTCGTATTCGTATAATATTTTTAATAAAATAATATATATATGTTCTCAGATTAATTGTCCGACCACAGAACATACAAATTGTTTTATTATATTTTGCAGATTGCAGACTTTTAAAAAGATTTAACTGAACTGATAATAATAGTACCTCCTAATAGTGGATGGATTAATAATGAAAATCAAGAATTGCGGTCTGCAGCACGATCACGATTAAAGATAGTCGATGATTAACTGTATCCGTGGTCTGGAGTCTGCCGCTCAGGTTATTTTCAGTTTCTGGTACTTAAAGTCTAGTTTAGACAGTGTCTACCGTTTATTGTCTATACAATTACTGCCAGAACGACCGTGGTGAATATATCTATTATATTTCTGCATGGACCTTGTAGACTCATAACTTATGAGGTTTATGCTGTAATTCTGTGATCAACATTTCACATTTAATATTATTTATTATTCTATACTCTATAGACAACGGTATATTCTTAATTTCCGATATTCGTACTCACCTCTCAGTACTCACCAGCACGGCCATGCACACTAGTCACACTAATACTTTAAAAAAATATTACCGTACTAATACATTTATAGTATTTGTTACTAAGTAGTCAGTGTTTAATAGGTCTATGCTATTCTTTAGCAACTTAAGTCTTAAGCCCCAAATATCCAACGATGATCAATAATATAGTATCTATCTTCTGATTTTATTCCATTGATATTTAAGTTTCAGTTGCATGCGAATTCCTAAGATTTTTGTCCAATTCAACATTTTGGCATGAATAATCCATATTTACTTAAAAAACAATTACAAGAGAATGAAGAAGAGTTATCAAATTATTTGCGTGATATGAACATTTGGCAAGAACAAATGAAGCGAAAAGAACGTTCACCACCGGTACAGTTTATACTGAATTGCTTCAAATATATTTTTGTATGTACATCTGACGGTTTATTTTTCAGAAGCCCAATGAAAAGAAAAAACCTAAAATTAATCCATCAAAAGCTAGTAAAAGCAAAATTTCATCATGGGATTACTCTGCTTGGGATAAGTTTGATGTTGTATGTATTATAATTAATGACCACTTTCCATTAAATCTCGAATGTTATATTCACATTTATTTTCTTAGGATGATGCTTGCAAAGAAGTAGATACTCAAAATGAACTCAAGAAAAACGATAATTATGGTTCAAGTGTGGATTGTTTAAATAATAAGTTACAATCAAAACAGTCTGAAGGTTTATACGAAAAAAATTTGGTAATTAATAAAACAATCTATAATATTTTTCTGCTATTTATCTTACTTACTTGAAATAAACATTCAGCTTGTAAAATGTACAAACAATAACATACAAATAATATACTGACTATGACAGATATGTCAGAACATTTTAAGTTATTTTTATTTCCTTCTTAAAGCTAATTTTTTAAAAATCTATAATTTGTCTTATCTTTTTGACTGCATTATTTATGTTATGTTTTAATTGAATTGTTTTGATATATTGTAGTGTTTGATCTGGATAAAATAAAATCTATTAATTATTAATAAACTTACGTTGTCATACCTAATAATTTAATTATTTTTAATTTAGGGTAATGCGTTAGTACAAAAGCAAAAATGGGCTGAGGCAATACTGAGATACACAAGAGCGATAGAATATTATGATAAAGATCCAATATTTTATGCCAATAGAGCATTATGCTATCTAAAGACAAATGAGTAAGACTTTTTGTAAAAACATATTGTTCAGTACATTGTATAACACGTTGTTTTTTTTTTACAGATTTAAACTAGCAATTATTGATTGTACATCTTCACTTAAACTAGATAAAACATATGTTAAAGCATTTCAAAGAAGAAGCGCTGCTTATATGGCTCTTGGAATGTACAATGAAGCTAAAAAAGATATACAAGATGTTTTAAAATTAGAACCAAACAACAATCAAGCCAAAGTTGATATAGAAGTTGTTAATAATAAAATTAAACAGGTTGGAGGAATATTTCATATTAATTGTTCTCTTACTATTTAAATAAATTATTTTGTTTTAGGGAGAAATTCAGAAAATCCCTGATATTAAATGTCAAAAAACAAATGCAACTAATAATTTACAAAGTAAAATTATAAGTTCAAAAATGTTATGTAAAGAAGATGACAAACCAATACAAGTGGTTATTCCTGATTGGCCCGAAAGAGTTGGTTGTAAACAAATAACTTCTATACACAAACCACCACATTTAAGATCAAAAGTAAGATAATGGTTAATCTTACAATCAGTAATCAAAAAAATACTTCCAAATTTGTTCAACTCTTGAATACCAACAATTAAGTAATTATTTTTAGAATGATTTGAACTCCCTTTTAATTCTCCGTGTATCTCTCATACATGTAGTGTGGTTTATATAATGACTTATTGTCATCAGTTTCTACTCAACTTTTGTTTTCAATAAGCCCACAGCATTGTTAAGACTACTCGTAATTAATGCCGTTGATTATAAATACTAAAAATTGCTCATTGTGCAGTTATTGATAGTGAGATAATATATTTATTAATATACTTACAATTCACTAGTAATAGTTATTTTTATTTTTGTCTGTTAGATAATTAATAAGGTTAGTATTCTAGGGTTAAATATGTTAATGCTCGAGTAATAATATTAAAAGTAGATACTCAAATATTATTTGAATTAATACATTTATTTATTTATTTAGTAATAATCAAATTACCCAATTAAAATACTTAACTCAAAAGTATTTAGTTTTTTCTAAATTAATTCTAACCGTCTCAATACTGTCCAGCAATGTTAATAATAATATGATTTGGGTTAATTACTTTTCTTAGAAACCATTCAGTACACTCAAAATCAATGATGTTCAAGCAAACCAAGAAGAATTAAACAATATATATTTACTTCAAACCACACTGAAAGAAGTATGTGAAACAAAAAATAAAGATCAATCCATAAACAAAGAAATTATCCCTATGAAAAAGAATTCTGTTCAAACTATAAAAAAACATACAGCTATACCTCCCGTTCCATTAACATATGTACAACTTAAACAAGATTGGGCGTGCTTACAAAATGATCCAAAACTATTGTTTCAATATTTAAAAGTATGATTTAAATTTAAATTTCCTATCTTAAATTATAACATTAACCTAATTAAATTTGTTTAGCAAATCCCTGGTAAGCGTATACCATCAATCGTACGTAATTCTATGGATAATGATCTATTTGTGGATATTTTAAGAATTCTACGGGCAGAATTTGTTAAAAATGGATGTGATATAACAGATTATTTGATTGGCATTAGTGAATTACCAAGATTACAAATGTTAGTTATGTTTTGTTCTAGTAATGAAGTATCATGTAAGTATATTTGGTCACTAAAAAATAATAAGCATAATTTATAAAAAACATATTAGTCCTGCATTTTTTTTTAAAACAATTGAGTACTATTTAAGTGGTCGATTAATATTCAAATGTATATAATGAACGTACAGCTTATTAGGCATCGGAGAATAAGAAACATATTTTTTAAATATCGAAAATTATATTTTTCACCCTTCTAGGGGTAGTAGTGTCTTGATATTCTACTAAATGATTAATAAATATACAAAATAGAAAGTGTCAATAGGCGACTTTTAAAAGAAGTTTCTTTCGTCATTATTTTTCTCACCGATCAGTAGTCACATAATATACTGTTTATTGTAAAATACTTTTTAAAAAATGTATATATTTAATTCCACATTCTTATTGCATTTTACTAATATATTATTATTGTATCATTGTTTTGATTCTAGGTATCAAGGAATTGCTGAACCACGTTTCAAATTCTGTTTCAGAAAATACTTTTAAGAATCTTAAAGAGTCTTTTGGAGTTTAATAATTAATATTGATTGAAAAATAACTTTATTTTATACATTTCCACATTATACTTACACTATGTCACTATATTATATTACATTATTGAAATTTTTTTCATTAAATGTCAAACAAATAGTTATTTGTATACAGTATTTTATATTATATATGTCACATGGTTAGCTTGTTCTAGGCACCAGTGCCTTTAAAAAGAAAAATAAGAGTTTTCAAAATAAAAATAAACATGTTTAAATCAAACCAATTTTAGGTAATAATAGTATATTTTATTTATACTTAGCAAAAAGTACACCGAACAAAATATATAAATTGATTTACAAATGAAAGAAGTATTTATGAATTTTCAAATTTACAGTTATTTTAATTCTCAGAATCGAATACTATTGTTTGTTTGTTTTATTTTGAATATAGTTATGATTGAATATGGTCACTACTGCAAATTATAAATTTTCTCAATATGTGTTGTTGTTTTAGTCACCACCAATCCTGAAATATAAAAGAATAATGGATATTATTATTACAACTAAAAGTAAAAATAATTTGATATAAAAATTGTTTTAAGTTTGATCTTTTATAAAAGTTAAAAAATTTTTGTATGTACATAATAGGCACCTATTTTTTAGTTTTTAAGCAGTAGGAACATGAGGTTTATACAAGGATAAAAAAATAAAATAAATCCAAAAGTATTTTGGACATAATCCAAATAATCCTTGAATAAAAATAAGTGGACAAATAAATGAAGTAAACATCTACAATCACCAGTTTCTACAATAAATGTATTTATAAGACAATTAAATTATAAATTTATTTTGTTTTTTTATGAATATTATTAATAATAGGTACATAACGAATAACAAGTTGCTAACAAGATGCCCAAACTTCAAATTATAATATGGAACACAATTTTTTGTAATATATTTCTGGGAATGATGTTTAATGTAAGATATAATATAAGAAGGAATGGCTTTCCTTATAAATTTTAGTAAGCAATAGCCAAAATCAATTATAACAGGATTAGTAGTTACTAGTTATCATACCTAGACAATTTGTAGCACACATGGTATTTACTATTTGGTCATCAAATTAAAATATGTACATTTAGGTTATAATACATATTTCTTAGTAAAACCCTCTTGTATTTTATTTAATGAAACCATTTATTTAAATAAAATAAAATGTACCACTAATAAGTTAATTTAAAGATTTTATAAACTAAATCATACATTAAACAGTTTTTAATACCTTTATAACATTCAGAATCGAAGTAATTTAAGGAACCAAAAAAACACTTAAATTATCATTGAATACCTATATAATAATTATATTTATTAAAATAATAAGCATAAATTATTATAACTAGTATAGGTTATAATGTAGTCAACTATATTATTGTCAACCCAAAATTTACTGTTAACATTAGCGATGAACCTCGGCAGGACTGTATATATATTGGTGGTCACTGCACTTACGCCAGTTTCATTGCAAGGTTATAGCCTATAGGTAACAGACTACAAAGTGCTAAGAGATGTACAAAAAATACATTCATTAATTTCTCGTCAAGAAAGTCCTTAACGAGTAGATTCCTAAATTAAAATATAATTATTGAAACATTTCAAAGAACAAAAGAAAACAGGAACAAATATTTGTTAATTTTCTTTATTTAATTGAATTGTTATAAATATACGTAGATGATAATTTAAAGGAAACATTTCTAAAAGTTAATCAGTAACTAAAATGTTTTGTAACCATAAAAAAGACCTTAAAAATAAATGTATGTTTACCAATTATTATTCCTTCTTTGAGCTGTCTGCGTTTTCTTCGACGACAACAGGTTTTTCAGTACTGTCGGTCTTTTCTTCTGACGATCCTTTTGCTACCACCTCTTCTTTGCTGGCATCATCAAAGTTACCGACCAAATCCGGCACCTCATCATCATCTTCAATTAATGATTTACTAATGAGATTATTACTAGCAAACCCGCTGGCATAACGCTTCAGTTGTCCAATTTCTTCGTGGCCCAACTGATTTAATATGCCCGGCAGTAGTTCGGACATTGATTTTGTGTCACCGTGCCCCGTAATAGCAAATGTGTTTGCTGCCAGCGAAGCTTGTGCTTTTGGATTGTTAAAGTGTATCACAGTACCATCATCTTTGATCATATTTACTTCTTCAATTCCAGGTATTGTGTTGACTGTTAGCTTTTTTAGAGTGCTTTGGAGTTTTTTGTCATCTGTGGCTGCTGTTGTGTGTACAACCTTCTTCTTTCGTCGTGGTGTGCCTTTGCCGCCTATTCGCACCTGGTCACTGAGTTTTTTCAATTTTTCAGCGTTCATTTTGACTCTTGAAAATAATTACCGTCCGCAAATGGTTGGTCGGCAACAATTGACTTATGTTAAGCTAACTCTACGTAAAAACTAAAAACACTTACGGTTAAAAATCCACTTACACGGACTTAACCTGAAGTAAGACACAAAGAAAATTCGCTCAGTGCGAACATGTGACTTCGGAGTTTGATCAACAAAATGGATGATCCAATCACATCTCAGGTCCTTCAAAAATGCCGAACTCGGATGTTTCCGCTTTCGGTTAACCTCGGGACATATCGTCGAAAGCAAAGCGATTTGTATGTACCTGAACCATGGTTCAGTGCGACGGTATCTCGATTGCGCTATTTTTTAAAATGACTCGTTTGTTACGATTTACGTGCACAGTTATTTTATAATTTTAAAACTCAAGATTTTCAAGGAAAAATGTTGAGTTCAAGAGCGTTCAAGAAGTTACATGTGCAGTATACAAGCGATACGTATTGGACTCAGACTTCGATACGAGCCGGTCGGTACGTAACTATTCCTGTCCGTAAGTAACTATTCCATATCGATACGTATCGAATTTTTCTTCTTGAAAATCTTCAATATTATGTTAATGTTCAAAGAACTCGACATTATTGAAATCAATTTAAGCGAACTGACTGAGTAGTGTAGAATATTTTATGTAATTATTATTTTTAATTCATTTTACGGTAAACACATAAAGTAAAATCAATAATATTTTGCATGTATTATAAACGCTTAATGTCGATTTCATATTGGTAATACGCAGATTTTATATATTCAATATACTTAATAAATTATACTTCAAATTTCACAGATAAAAAAATCTACCGATACTATATACTTCTGTTCAGTAGGTAGGTTTATTTTAGATTCTGAGAGGAGCAATGAATATTGATTTGACAATGATGTGTGTTTTTTTTAAATTGTTTTTTTTTTTGTGTTTGCCATCAATGTTTGGGGCAGTAAAACTACTTCAAATTTCTTCAACAGTATGTTGTTCGATGGAATAGTGAATCTAGTTGGTACATTGGGAGGTCAAAAGTAAAAATTCCTCAGCAGTTTTCAAAACCGTCGTGAAAAACAAAAGAATAATTAAGGAAAAACGGGAATTTTTACTCAAACTCGATTTTGATTTCAGTGTAACTCTAAAACAAATGACCGTAGATGCATGAAATTTTAACTGAATGTTTATATTAGCATTTTCTATACACCATAAAATTTTAAAAATATTTTGACTTATTTTTGAGCTGTTTAGGAACAATTTCAGTTTTCTATTTTTTTTTAGTTTTTTATTCTATAAATATCAATAATATTTTATTTGTTGGAAAAAGCTTGAAAAATTAATAAAAAGCTTCAAAGACAGATCAAAAATATTAAAAATCCTTAGTCACACTATTTTTTTATAAGCATTTAAAGTTTAAATCTTGACAAAATACAGAAAAATCAAGAAAATTGTCTAATTATTTTGAGCTGAGAATTCATAAAAATTTTTCCTTTTTAAATTTAAAATTTGAAAATGTAATACAAGGTTGTTTATAACTTTGTCTACCTTAATGAAAAAAAAAAAATTGTTTGTGTACAAGCAAATCAAATTAAATTTTTATGAGCTTTTTAAGTTCATAATTTGCAATATGGGATATTTAATCGATTTCGCATGTAGCGGTTTTGTTATTTTATTGTGATTCAAAAACGAATAATTTTAGATACCTACTTGAAATTTTCACTGGCTGTTTATATATTAATTTTCTATATACCATAACATTTTTAAAATATTTTACTCTTTTTGAGTTGTTTACGAGCATTGTCAGTTTTCAATTTTTCTGGTTTTTTTTTTTCTACAAGTGTCAAAAAAATATTATTCGTTGAGTAAAAATGCTTGAAAATTGAATACAAGGACAATGATATATTGTTACAATAGCAGTTGAAAAATATTAAAAATACAGATACAAAATTTTTTTATAAGCATTTAAGGTTGGAATTTTTACAAAATGTATTCAATTTAAAATTTAAAATTTAATAATTATTTTGTAGTTAAAAATTTATAAAATGTTCAACTCTTATATCTAAAGATTGGAAGTTTAAAACAAGATTCCACGTATTTTGAACAAGCATTTTATTAACATACCAATACAGCATAGGTGCAACTAGACATTATTCTGAGCGGGCTAAAACTGTATCAGCCGCATTATGTGTTTGTCATCATTAGCGTTGATGAGATCTAGTTTTTTCATAATTGTTTAGAAAATTAGCAGAACAATATGAGTGATGTATAAATATGTTTCATAACACAAATAAGTTATACTGAAAATTTGACTTTGCATATTTTTTCGTTATTGCATAAATATCCACATTTGAACATACATTTCAACAAATAAGAACTTATTTTGTCAGTTTTCAATCTAATATAAATAGTTTGGACAAATAAGAATAAATTTTGAAAAATTTTAAGTTTAAAATGTTTGTCTTTGAAAAATTAAGAGCATCTTAGGTATGTATAAATTTGTAAAATTGAATATTTAATAATATAATAGTAATACACTAATCGCAGCATATCTGTCGATTATCTGGCTGATAACACTGCAACTTGTATGGCAGGTAGTTTTTCAAGTGTTTATAAAGTAAATAATCAAACTATCTTTTTATAATTTGTGACCACATTAATTTAATAATTTTTTTTTTTTTTTTATTGATTAAATATACTCGGCAGCTATAGCTATTAGTTACAATAAATTATGTTCAAATTACAGTATTTAAGGTTTTAACAGTATTTTTTTAAGAAAGTACAGTTCTAATGTATAATTTATTTAAGTACCAAAGTTCATATTATACATTTTTTTGGAACATATTTTAAGTGCATATTTGTATTTATTGAATGGATATTTAATATTTTTATATTAACATTAGGTTTTGTAGTACATTTTTAGTTTTTTATTTTCAAAGTACAAACTTTAAGGAAACAAGAGGTATTCTAAAACTTTTTAATTGTTATATAATATTCACCAGATAATCTTTTTAAGAATTACTGTTTATTAAATATGAACTAAATAAGTATTGTTTATAATTTAAATTAGTAGCTTTCTGTGCTAAATTAATAATATAGAAATAAATAACAATTTACATTCAAACATAAAAAATTAAAACAGCCAGCAAATTAATATTAGTATAAAATATAAATAAATATGATATGATATAATATAATAGTAAAGTGTATAAATAATAATTAATAATATTAAATAAATACAATTAAATTGCAGAACATATAAAAACAATATACTATTTATATTATGAAAATACAATACAACATACTAAGTTATAATGTAAAGTTTTCAGCATTGAAACATTTAAAATAAAATAAAGTTACTATTTCATTAAAAAAAAACATAAAATTTTAAATATAACCAGTTATATTTTGAGTAGGGATTACACTAAATTCTGATTTTAAACGGGTGTGAATTTGTGGATTTACATTACCTGTAGATGCCGAATACACTTTAAAACAATGGGATAAAAATATGTCTAGGATAAATCTGGCATTTGTTGTAATAATATTTATCTATGAATTTAAATATAGAATTAATATTAAAAATGTACAATTGTTTAATTATTTAAAAATACTTACATCATTTACAAAGTTTTTATTTTTCATAGAGCTCTTTATGTAATTACAATGAGCTGCAAAAACTTCATAAAGTAGTTGATCAATAACATTTGCCAAATCAGTTGAATACAGCACTAAGCAATCATTTAGAAGTAATAAGTAAGTGCGTGTGAATGTTATTGTGTTTTGAGTTAACATTATCCACGATTCACCTAAAAACACCAAATTTATTTCATTGTTCGTAGTGCTAAATAAGTCTTAGGTTCAAATTAACCTTTATTGTAAGATTCAATGTTTGAAAACCCATAATTTGTATATTCTTCAACGATTTTATCTCTTTGTTGTTTAGTTTTTAGATTGAAAGGTTTCCATTTATCCTCAGAAAATCTTATTTTAATTACTTCAATAGTCTTGTCCTTGATATCATTTATTGATTTTGTAAGTGGAACTCTAAGTTGCCCGTCAATTTGAAATTGGAGATCTATTCCATAATCACATAACTAAAAATATACATACATATTATGATTTAATACATTTTATAGGTAAAAGAAAAAAAACTTTTTTTTTTTTTTATTAATGAGATTTTAACATTACATTATGATATCTCGACAATTATACATATACATTAATTTGGAATGATAAAGTTGGTAAAGCTCACACTCTTAAATTCAGAGGCCTGATTGCAGAATAAAATTTAGAGTATGTTTTATTATGTTAACGTTGTTGGTTGAGAGAGCGTCAATGAGAGAAAAATTAATACCAGAGGTGGGAAAGAGATTCTTTAGCTGAGATCTTTGGATGGAGAGAGATGGACAGTTTATAAGTAGATGTTGGAAGTCACAGTATTCTCCACCACAGTTGGGTAGGAGACAATACGTGCTACTATTGAGTCTCAATTTAAACGAGTGGTGTGGTAGTAGACTGTGGCCCTTGCGTAATCTGCTGAATTTAGTTATGGTAGTGCGGCTCATCTTTAGGGATTGAAACTATGGTTGAATAGGGATGTTTTTAAATAATGATCTATAACCAAAAGTATAAGACTTTGGTAGGGAATCCCATTCCAGCTTCCATAGCTCCTGTATGGATGTGCGATGTATAGTGACTAAATCAGTATAGGGACACCGCAGAGGGCCCGAGTAAGACTGGTTGGCGGTGGAGTCAGCTAACGATTCAGCGTGTTCATTACCATTTATACCTATATGCCCTGGAGCCCATAGGAAGGAGATGGAGAATGACTGGATTTTGAGGGATACCAGTAATGCACAGATTAAAACTATATTATATACGCCCACTTTCTAAATAGGATTTACAGATAAAAAGATTAAAAATTTAAGAGTAAACTTAACAATGTTTTATGCATCAAGATTTCTAAGTATAGAATTTGTATATTTTAATGATTTAA